CCCTTGTCCAGCTCAGTGAAGGGAGTAGTTTCTGTTGGTCTGGTGGAATCTGGATTCTCCTGCTTTCATATTCCAGAGCTCCCTCTCCTGCAGGCCCCGCGCTATGTCCCACTACTAGTGCGTGAAGCCGTGGCTTTTGCATTCCTTGCTAATTAAAAGGTTCTTACTCTTTGTTCCAAAGACCATATTTTATCTGTTGACCTCATGGAAAATTTAGCTTCCTTCCAATTTGTTTTACAAGCTCATGACTGAGAGCTTCAGGAGAACAGAGACAAGGTTTAGCAGGTTCACCATCTTATCTCCCCAACGGCTACTACATAGAAGGTGCCCAACAAATATTTTCTGAATGAATGAACAAGTGAATGATTGTTGCCTCACAGGGATCAGGCTTGTCTTCATGCTACGGCAATGGGAAGGGGTTTTAAACTTCTTTTGTGGGAAGAGAGACTTTCTGCTTGCAGTCTCCCTGAGACAGATGTCGGCTGAGCAGCCCAAGCTACTTCCTTTGGAACTCCCTTAAACACCGTCCATCACTAGGGTATTTTTCATTTAAATACTTTGGCCTCACCTAGAGTACATGCCTGTTGAAATGTGTTGACCCAGATTTCTTCTTCAGGGCTCATCTCAACATAGGCTAATGGAACTAACAGCATTTGTTTTTCTTTTCAACATCTAAGTTAAGTTACATTTTCTTTGAGCAGAGGGTTAGAATATTTCACATTTCTCCTTTTCCTTCTCGTAAACATGGTGCCTAAATTTATGGCCAGCTAGATTCTTTACCTGAAGCAAAATGGAAGAAGGTATTTGACAGTAGTAGCATTCATTCACATTACCGAGCAGTTAGCAAAGTGAAATGCTACACCACCCCACTCACTGCTTTTGGTTTCTTTCCAAGTCTGTTAAGTCCAGAAAAGCAGCAGACAATTACAGATAATTTATTCTGTTCATTTATTCATTCTGTGGACAGTTTTAGTCCCCGACCTGACTTTTACAGTGGCCATATCTCTTTTTTACATTGTAAGCAATAATAAAGAAAATGAGCTTTTCACTTCCTACATATGTCTCATGGGTTTTGTTTTATAAAATAACTTCTATTGCATTTTTTATTGTAGGCATAATGCATGTTTATTGCTTAAAAATAGAAAATACACATAAGCAATAGGAAGAAAATAAAAACAGCACATAATCCCACTAAAGATAACTACTGTTAACATTCGCTGTGTATCTACTATCATCCTCTNCCCCGACCTGACTTTTACAGGGGCCATATCTCTTTTTTACATTGTAAGCAATAATAAAGAAAATGAGCTTTTCACTTCCTACATATGTCTCATGGGTTTTGTTTTATAAAATAACTTCTATTGCATTTTTTATTGTAGGCATAATGCATGTTTATTGCTTAAAAATAGAAAATACACATAAGCAATAGGAAGAAAATAAAAACAGCACATAATCCCACTAAAGATAACTACTGTTAACATTCGCTGTGTATCTACTATCATCCTCTTAACATGCCTTTATGATTTTTTTACAAAACTGTATAGAACCCTGTGTACTAACTTTTAATAAAAAATGTCTATCATGGACATTTTCCTGTGTCATTAATATTGCCACAAAACATCATTTTGATGGCTGCATGAATGCCATTATATGGATGTAATTCATGTGCTTTGTTTTAATATTATTTTTGTAGATTGAAAAAGTTCTTCAGCAGGGAGAGATTGGAGACTGTGCAGAACCCTACATGGTTATCAAAGAAAGTGATGGTGGAAAGGTATGATTTTTTGAATATTGCTAAATGGTGATATCAGAATAAGCAGATTTTTTTCGGAAGTATTTCACAAAATAGCTAATTTGTTCTCATGAGATATTAATAAAATATATTTTAAATATGTACATATGATAGAAACTTGTCTATTGTTGAACTTTTTAAAGAAACAAATTATTGAATTCAACACATGGTAATATACACACCAATGTCTAAAAAACTTGCTAAGGCAAAGAAATACTCCATTTTCTTGGTTCTAGGACTCTAACTCAGCTGGTTGGAAGGCCACAGAGACCTCACAAAACTAGAGTGTCAGCTCTATTGGTTTTCCTCAACAGACAGGCCAATTTCCAAATATCCTTTCTGGTATAGAGATTTGGAAATTGGCTAAGACTATTGTACATCACAGAATCATTAAAACAACATAGGTACTGAGCCTGTGAAAAAGATATCCTTTCTCAGCACCTATTTGCAAAGGTTTTCAATATGGTTTTTAAAATGTGGTCTTTCTGGAATAAGACTTGCCTAATTAGCATTTCACCACAGAATCATAAATTTCAAATGAAATTTATTGAACTCAAAATTTTTTTTAATTGACCTTTTATTCTGAACTTAGAATACCTTGTAAGTGTTGCCAACCTAATAAGGAAGTTGTTAGGAACCTTTATAGATCTTTTTGGAGTTTTCCAAATGCATCTTTTGAAGAACAGGCTCTCTTGAGAGCTTGGCAGATAATATACAAAACTTTTCTCCCCAAGATTCTCGCATGTAAATCCAAGGCATGTAGCTAGAAAGAGGCATTATTGATCAGTCCAGAAAGCCTTGGACCTTTTTTTTTTTAAGCTAAAGGTGTATTTAATAACTGAATGTAGCCTTTCTTTGCACTCCCCCCTTTCTATCTGAATTCCCTAACCAGCTAGACTTCTGGCCAGAGCTGTGTCATTTTTCTGCCACTTCTCTTTCACTCAGTAGGGCAGGGCTTTGGGAGATGGCTGCTTTGGGACCATGCTTTTGTCTCTTCCTGTTTTCCTCTAGAGTAAAGAAAAGATAGAGAAACTAAAACTTCAAGCGGAATCTTTCTGCCAGCGTTTGGGGAAGTACCGCATGCCCTTTGCCTGGGCTCCCATTAGCTTAGCAAGCTTCTTCAATGTCTCTACCCTGGAGAGGGAAGCCGCCGATGTGGAATACATGAGTGGTAAGATTTTCAGTGGCAGTGGGAAAGAGAGGGGCCCCTGGCACATCACCGCCGAGGTTGCCTGCTTATTAGTGCAGTCAGGTGTAGAGAGTGGGAAGGAGGAAGGAGGTAAATAGGATGAAACGCTATTATGACTGAGTTAACAAGTGCTCAATTGGACAGTGATCCCCAAGTATAATGGACATTGATGGAGCTTAAGAACACTCTTATACTAAGATTTTTGGTTGGAATTTTCTGGACAGTTGAACATTTTAAAAGGTAATTTTCAAGAGCCACTGCCTCTTCAGAGTAAAATTCGTGGAAATAACAAGAAAATGTGACAACTATCTAATGTGTGTTAAACACCGTGGTTGGCTCCTAAACATAAGAAACCCAAGAGGTCTTTAAAAAGCAAAGCTGAGGCTTCTCAGCAAAATTTCCAGTCCTTTAAAGTTTATTTTTCCAAGTGCAATGAAAATATGGATGCCAAAGAATATTTAGTTACTGTTCCAATCCATTTAGCACATTTTTCCTTTTCATCACCTCATCCTTGATCTGAATCATTAATTTCCTAAGCAGTTTGGATATGGACTATTCAAGAGGGTTACAGAATTTTCAAGTAGGCCCACCCTGACATGTAGAGTTTCTGTTGTCCTAAATGTCTTTGTGTCCAGCAAGTAGTTAAGTCTATGTTTACATTTCTCATATATTCCTAGGCTCTGCCATTTCTGAAATGTTACCTTTAATAGGGGAGTAGAAGAAAAGGTAGTCTGTTATTGCTGCTCTTATTCTGGAGTTATTCATGCATAATTACCAGCCTGAACTCCTGAGTTATTTCTGATTTATCAATAACAAACCTCACTTTAGTGCATCCTGACCTCCACACCATACTGGTTTTTTTAAATGCCAACTTCTACATAGATTCAAGTAGCCTTCTTTGAAAGAGTTAAGTGTAGAGCTTGGAGGACACCATAAACTAGGTAATTCAAAGCATTGGGCTTGCTGGGGCCTTGGTAACCTCCTAGTCAAGGATAAATTAACCTGACTGCAGAGGCTGATTCTTAAGAGGCAGCCAGAAGATGCAGGGTGTTACATTGAAGCAGTATGGCAAGTTTAGGTGGGCAGTGGTAGCAAGAAGTTCCAATTCAGCAACATGGTGAAAATTAAGGATAAGAGAGTATTCAAAGATGGGTTGGCAATATTAGAGATCTAAGCAATTGGACCATTCACAGCAGAACCCCTGAATCTTGCAGTATAAAAGCAACAAGATCTCTACCTAAATCCCAAAAGAGGAAAAGAAAGAAGTAAGCAGATTGTCAGGGTCACAGCCCAGGCTTGGGTGTGACTCAGGGTTCTTTTCCCTATTTGGCAGGTTAGTTCTGCTGCCTGGGCCACACAGCCAGAGCAGCAGAAAGCTCGGATTCAGAATATCCGCAGGCTAACCCTAGCATGTTTAGGTCACAGTGCTAAATGCCTTCAAGGGCATTTGAGTACAGGCCTCTCCCAATGGAATGCAAATATAAAAATAAAACAAAAGTAAACACTGTTGGCTAAATAAAGTGTATCTGCAGACCCAGTTCTGGCTGTAGTTCTGGACTCCTGTTGGGTGGCGCACCCTGACCTCCATGCCTCTCCTCTCTGACCAGAAGGCTAGGGCTCCAACAGGGGAGCTAAGAAACACAGGGGCCAGTGGAGGGAAATTTTCTGTCAAAACAGTGTTCTTACAGTGACTTTCAATATATCTTGTGTATGGTAAAGCTACCAACTGCCATATATTCAAACAGAAAGGCATGCTCTAGAATGACAGTTTTTTTCTTTAAAGGGAAAAGCTCTGTGGGCGAGCGGAGAACTTTGTCCCAGTCTAGAAAGCTTTCTGAAAGAACCCTGTCCTTGGAGGAGAACGGGGTTGGATCCAACTTCAAGACCACCCCCACGACCATTAACAGCTTTTTCAAGCAGGTATCTCCCCACATTACAGTGTGTCTGAATTTGTCCTCATAATGGCATGGGTGCTGGAGTCCAACAGGGACATATACTCAGTGATTAACAGAGCAAGTTAGTTAACCTCACCAAGCCTCAATTTCATTATCTATGAAGCAGGGATGATGGCGCTTACTTCATATGGCTGGTGGGAGGGTTCTGTGGCATGAGGGGTGTAAAGCTCTTCTCAGAGTGCCTGGAATATAGCAAGTGCTAAATGAGTGTTAGTTCTTTTAACTGAGAGAAGGATTCATTCCCACCAAAGCAGTATCCTGTTTGAACTGTCATGGTCAATTCATCCTTTAGGCTATGAAAGCAATCTGGCTGAAGCTCCCATGTGCCCCCAGCCTCCGGTCTCCTGGCCCTACTGCTGTACTCCTCACTAATGTTCCATGTGCAGGCTTTCCAGGGCTGCCTACTGGCCCACTGAGGGCAACCACTGCAGATGGAGCTCTTCATTAGCTCAATAAATATTGAGGTTATTTTAAAAACAAAGAATTTCCTGGAGTAATCAAATTCATAGGTACTGACAGTTGAATGACAGAAAGTGGAATGATGGTTGCCAGGGGTTGGAGGAAGGGAGAAATAAGGAGCTGATGTTTAATGGGGGCAGAGTTTCCATTTTTCAAGATGAAAGAGTTCTGAAGATTGGTTGTACAATGTAAATGTACTTAACACTACAGAACTGTACATTCAAAACTGGTAATTCTTATGTGAATTTTACTAAAAAGAAAAAGTAATGGACTTATTAGACTTGGTTTCACTTTACTTTGGAAAATTTTTCATGGCTCAAGCAATCTTCACGGGGCATTTCAAAGGGTTATGTTAACAGAAATGTTATTCAGAAGAGGTGCTAAGGGTCTGTGTGCCATGCCATGTAATAGAAATAGCATGGGGCTGAAATGTTTTCAATGTTGGATATACCCCTTCTGATTGTATTACCTTCAGAGGCAAAGTACTTAACTGAGTTTATTCATGTGTACTTGGGAATAAGACACACCTCCCTGCCTACCTTCCTGGGATGTTATTGTAAGGATGAGAGCTTGTACCACTGTATTCTTGGCAGAGTGCCGGTCCCATGTAGGCACACTGAGAGTAGTATTTATGCTTAGCTTTCTTAGTTGAGACAAAAGTGAAGAAAATGAGGATAGGAAAAGGATGGAAAGATGCTTTCTCCATCTTCAAGTCTTTGAAGGAGGAAGTAAACTTGTTCTGTATTGTTCTAGGGAGTAAAACAAGTACCAGTGGGTTGAAGTTATAGGGAAGGAAGCTTTGGCCTAAATTTCTAACAGTCCAACAGGCTTCCTTAGGAAGTGCTAGAAGCCTTGTTCCCAGGATTTATGAGAGTTTGAAGGACAGTAAGTAGAGAGTGGTAGAGAAGGAAAATTTGACAAAAGGTGGAAGTAAATGATGTCAGTGTTGCCTATAATCCTGATTCTATAAGAGGCATGTTAGAATAAAAATATTCCCAGAAATCCTTGGTCTATACCCCAGGAGCCAGTACTGTAACTCTTGTAACCCCTGACTTCTCTCCTGGCAGGAGGGAGATCGCCTTAGTGATGAAGACTTATTCAAGTTTTTGGCTGACTACAAAAGATCTTCATCCTTACAGAGAAGAGTCAAGTCAATTCCAGGTGTGGATGGCTTGTCCTTATACTTTCTGTACCAAAACCATTTATGATTAGACACATTGTTTAATGCTACAGTTTATAAAATTTTGTTTGTCAAGTGAAATGTGCAGTTTTATATTAGGAGTTAAGAATCTGAATTGGTCTATTCTTTATGAACATCTGTTAATATTTTCCATTTTTATTAAAGGATGGATTCAGTAAATGAACGTCATGCTTTATTTAGATCTGGTTTCTCAGGTAATAAGATAATTGTTTCAACAGAAGATCCCCTTTTATCACATAAAATAATATATGGAACCCTTAGTATAAAAAGAAAATGCAAGTTAGATGCTTTGGCAAAGGGTGAGGGCACCCGATTCTCAGTTTAACAGCTCCTGAGGCACTTGTACAGACCCCTGGGGTACCTGGGAACTCAGTTTGAAAACCACCAACAGTTGCTTAACTTACTTAACTACTGTAGTGTGGTCATTCTAGGAGAGACTTTAAAGATCCATTTCTACTCATTGTACAATTTCTTGCTTTTTAATTTCTGGAAACTAAATCTAAAAAGTTGTCATGACATGCTTTTTTATAATTATAGAAAATTAGCTGGGAATTCCAAAACTTTTACACTTCCACAATTTATGCTTATTTTCACTGAAGGAGTATAGTACAATAATCTTTCTTGATTCCCTTGTAACACTGTTTTTACTAAAACAGTCCTATTTTCTCTCACCAGGTTTGCTCAGACTGGAGATTTCTCCGGCTCCAGACATAATCAACTGTTGTCTGACTCCCGAAATGCTGCCAATGAGACCCTTTCCTGAAAATCGGACCCGTCCACACAAAGAGATTTTGGAATTTCCAATCCGGGAAGTATATGTCCCTCATACTGTGTACAGGTAAGAAACAAAGACCCTTGGAAAACCTTTGAACTCACATTTTGAGTTTTGTTTGGATAATGCTTTCAGCATCTTTTAGCCTCTCTTCCTAAGTTTTTGGGAAAATGAGGTATATTTACGTATTTCCAAAAATGGTTTATCTAATTTTATTTAACAAGAGCATGTTACTTTAGTCATGATTGGAATTTAGGACTATAGTGGACATACTCCTCTTAGAAATGAAAAATATTCCTTCCTCGTTATTACCTTGGTTTTTCTAGGTATAGAAAGACATAGTAGGAAAGAACCATGTGACCAAAAATGTTCTTTATCAAAGAGACAGGTTTTAGCTCATGACCAGCTCTCCAATAGAATTTACAGCACTGATAGAAATGTTCTGTATGTGTGCTGTCCAATAGCCATCAGTCATGGCACTAAACATTTCAACTGTAGCTAGTACAATGGAGGAACTGAAATTTAATTTTGTTTAACTTATACTAACTTCATTTAAATTCAAGTAGTTGTCAGTGGCTGGTGGCTACTACATTGGGCAGCATGGGACTGGGCAGTAAAGAGCTAAAAGGTTAGGCTGCCTTGGTTTCTTGGAGGCCCTTCACATGGAGGCTAAGTGGGAGCTCATCAACATACATCTGCCAAAGGCATTGCTTTTCAAATGTTTTATCTTTTATTTTGAAAAGATTTTTTTTAATGCAGAGAAGAATGTTACAAAAGCACCTCTTCTCCACCATCCAGAAATGACATTGTGTTATTTCTTGTATTGCATATGCATACATATGTACAATCATACTGATTGAGTTGAAGTCTCCCTTATATTCAATCTCCTGTCACAGACTTCTACCTTGCCTCCCAGACATCACCATTATCATGAACTTATGTAGTCCTTCCTTCTAGTTTCTCTGGCTTATCAACACACACACACACACACACACACACACACACACACACACACACACACACAAACACACATGTATGTAACTGTGAACACCCAATGGTATTATTTTTATATTCATTTAAAATGTACATAAATAGCCCTACACTCTGTGTTATACTGTTGCATATACAATAGTATGATTTTTTTCTTTTTTTTTGAGTTGAATAGTTTTTTGTTGAGTACTACTGTGTATTCATAAATTTGCACAGTTCACTGTATTATATTCAGTTGCATTTGTTATCCTGTTTCGTTATTTAGATCTTCACAAATTTAAATAATGGGAATTCCTTAACAGCTTGCATTTTAGAAATACTAATATTGATTTATATTGATTTATGTAGAGCTTTGTCATTTTTTAACTACTGTATAGTATTCCTTTGTGTGAAGAGGCCATGCTTTATCCATTTCCTAGTTTTCTATTGATAGACATTTATGTTTTGCCAATTTGGGGCTCTTACAAACACTGAGCAGTGAGAATTTTTGTCTTTCTGTGTACATGTGTGAAAGTCTCCCTAAGGAATGTGCTTAAAAGTGAAATTCCTAGGTGACAAGTGATACATATTTTCAGTTTTATTTGTATTGCCACTTTTTCCCAAAGTTGTACCAGTTTGCAATCCTGCCAACACTGTAAGAGACTTCTGATTCCCTCAGATTCTCACTACATGTTCCAGTATGATGTTTGTATATGTGGGGCTGAAATGCAAAGAATATCAGAACCTACCTAATCCAAGAATCCATACCCGCACATTTTCAGATGCACAAACTTGAGACTCAGAGAGGATAAGTGAGTGGTTCCTTGAGGTAAAAAATTGCAATGAGAAATAAAAGCAACCATCCACACAATTAGGAATTGACTCTTCCTTTCAAAAATGGTGAAGTACTCACACATTTCTGCCATTTAATTCTTTCTGAAGCAGCTCTTCATTTTCTATCCTATTAAATACAAACTAATTAAATACAAGCTCAAGTCCCTCTCCTTGAAAAATATGCATTCCTAGGATGCCACTGTTTCAGTTCTCCATTCCCTGAAGGGAGATGAAGGCATGAATATGTTTGCTTATGGATGCTGTGTGTGTATCATTTTAGAAACCGTATCCTATAACTAGAAAAAAGTTCTTGTGGCATTGGAATAAACTTGCACCAAATGAATTTTATAGTTACTCAACTTCCTCTCAGCATTTAATCACCCATGGGAGGCATTTACAACTCTTTCTACTCCTTGCTGCAAGCGTTATCTCTTAATTACATCACAACAGGACTCAGAATGCATTAGTGCAACGAATGATTCAGAAACGTAGGAGTGCTAAGGAGGACACGTCTGGACGAATTACTCTGAACCTAACTTGGAATAATGAGAAACAGACCTACAAGTTGGAAGTGAATATTCTTTAGCTGTACTGTGCACTGTAGAAATGCCAAGACCACTCCCTTAGGAACCAGGTTTTTACTCTTGGGAATGACAGAAGAAAACACATTCCCTCCAGCACCTTTTCTTGGCTTCTAGGCCACTATGTTTTATAGCTTGTTTAAGGAAGGAGAGTTATAGTGAACTTGCTTCAGAATCTTCGTGTGTGAAAACATCAAGGAGTTTAAAGACTATGTTACTTAAATCTATTCTTCTGTTGTTGAATTTGTAGTATTTCTTCACCTGTCCTCATATGCTTTATACTGGTTCTCATATGCTTTATACCATTTGATCAGGTTGGTTGACAGTAACCCAGTCCTAGATTAATTATCTCCTTTCCTGCACCTCCACTCTCATTTCACAAAATGGAAATGGCAGACTCAAGTCAGGTCTGACCCCCAGGTCCAATTGGGAAGCTGACTCAGTTTGTCCTTGGTGCCTTAGTCTTGTCATTTCTGTCAGTTTCCCTCTCTTTTTTGTTCCTTGCCATCCCCCTGTACCTTAAAGAACTTGGAATTTCATAGCTTCTCTGTTGCCTCCCCACCGAATCAAAGTCTTTCCGAGCAAAACTCCCTAAGTGTGTTTACATTCTGATATCCATAACAGGTATGGCCTGCAGTCTTCTCTCGCTCAAGAGTATTATCACTTCACGAGGGACAGCAAGTCCTGTTTCCTTTAGAAAAGTTTTCCTTTGACTTAGTTGAATTCTGGTCATTGTTACAAGGGTTTGGCATGAGGGGATCTTTCTCAGTTGACATGACTATTTCCTTGTCTCTAATCCTGGTCATGGCTATAGCTCTTTAAGGACATCAAATAAATGAAGATGAAAATTTACAGAGCAGATAATTCTTTGTCTTATAGAGAGTTTACCTCATCAATTTGAAATATGGCTTGCCTTATAAAAATTCGATCTACCTGGAATGTACAGAATACATCTGCTGGGGCAAGCAAGGAATGCCTCCATTGACAAAGCCAGGATTTGAATTTCAAATTGGTGTAATTTTAACATGAACAGCTGAGCTCTCTTGGGTGGAGGTAACTAGTATATGGCTCCAACGGCGGACTTGTCTGGCCTTGAGTGTAACTGGTGGTGTAAGATTCTAATATGAGTGAGGCTTCAGTTTAACACCGTGTGAGCAGAACACAGGTTACCTTGACCTTTCTTAAAGGAGCATCTGCCATGGAGCCTCAGATGAGATTGGCTTAGGATAGGTGATTTCAGCCTATCCTGCCCTCAGCCTCTGCCCCTCCCCCGCCCCTCTTCAGGTGCTTCCGTTGATTGTCCTGCCCCTTCAGGTGCCCTCAGTCAGGGTCTCCATCTTGTACCACAAGAGGCACCCTTCACGCCATATTCTCTGTGGATGCCGCCTGTGTTCCTCTACCTTATTCAGATTGCTTTAAGGAGTAATCTAGATCAGGACATACACTGGCAAACTGCATGGGACCCCAGAAGTATCCCCACAAGCCAGTGAGAGTTGGTCATTCATAAAACAAACTTTTGCTCTGAGGGAAGAGATGCACTTCTAGAGCTGGAAGTGCTAGCCCCAGGAATGCCCAGCATCCCCCAAACCTTTGCTCCTCATAGTGCCATGGGCCACTCTTATGGTTAAAGGCAGAGAGTCAGTCGAGTGTTCCCTGAAACAGATGCAGGCAGGAAATCACAAGCAGAAGGACAATAATTCTGAAAGTAGGGCAGAACAGCTGGAAAAATCAGGTTGGTAAACAGGATTATCCAACTCTGAGTGTGGCATTCCTTGCTCCATGCCCATTTTAAGAATATACTAGTCATTAGGCCAGGAACACATTTGAACCAACTTCTGGCTTATTTTCCATGTAGTCCAGCAGCTTGTAATGGAGACACCAGCTGCCTCTGGTGGGGCAGAAGGAAAACAGCCCTGGCTGGGACCAAGGCCCAGCAAGACCTCTGAGGACATTTTATCCTGGGGCTGCCCACTGGGTGTGTGTGGAGATCACAGGCACGAGGTTGTAATGAGCTTGTCAAGCTTCTTGCTGTCCCTTTAACTGGTGATTACATTAGATAAAGCCACATAAAAGTATGTTTTCATCTCTTATCCTGGCCCCCAAAAGCCTCTGAGGTCTTTTTATGCAATTATCAGACTTGCTGTGGAGAATTGTGCTTGCTGAGAACAAGCGTATCAGTTAGAACATGATTTCTTTGATAGATAATTAGCTGTTTTCAGGTCTCTTTTTCAGCCAGATGATCTCAGTGCAGAAGTCGGCATTCTCAGGCCGCCTGATAGCTGGTCTGACAAAGAGGTGCCTCCCATGCCACAAAGGAGTTTTGGGGGAATACTGCCAGACTTGCAGCTTACAGGGGCAAAAAGAAAGGCATCGGATAAATGTGTGAGCTAATTTTGAATGGATGCCTGGAAGTTATAGTTTAGTCAATAGGATTTCTAAGGAAAAGAATGAACTAGAAATTATTCTGGATGAAGTCGTCTGGAAGGAGTTGGGGCGTGGAGCATGCGCCGTGTTTATTTTGTCTGAGGAAATGGACTCCCAAGTCTGAGCCCAGCTGGCTGTATGTCCAGACTGGATCTTCTGAGTACTGGGGGGTGGGGGGATGGTGGTCGTGCCTTAGAGCCCATTGTGGAGCTTTTACAAAAGTACAAGAGTCCAGCCCCACCTGGAGACTCCCATTCA